GGAGCAGAAGAAATACTAATCCCCGGATATTCTGCTCGCGTGTCCTGGCAGGAATTTGAAAGTTAGCTCAGAGGGCTGTGAATCTGCCCCCAAGCCTATCTGGGAGTATGTCATGGCTTGAGTACGAGTAATTTTCGGGAGCAAATGTATCGCGGCGATGTTCCTACACCGTATGTGCTGGGCACATTAGATCTAGAGTGGTCAGACCTCACTTTTATATTGCTATCTTCCTTGAACTCGATTTGTCCTGTGTTGTCAGTGTTGTTTTCTGCTCGGTTTTCGGCTTGATTGGTCATGAGTCCTTGGAGAAATTTTCTCGTGTGTGGTACTTTGTTAAGACAAGGGATTGCCTAGATCTAGACGCTCTTTGGATCGTGTTGAAAAATGCTTGATGGTGGCTCTTTTGGACTAATCTCTTCATTCCATGTACAGTACTTGTACAGTCGCTCAGCAGAAGTGTTCGGAAAACATGTCTTACATCCCCAACCTGCCTTGCGAAAGTCCTCAACTCACGCAATAGCTCCTGATTTTTTCCTGACCCCTCTAGCAATGGTGCCAGTGCCTAAGTCAATTAACCTACATTTCGCTCCTCTTCCTTCCTCTCAGCGATGGGTGATGGATCTGGAAAAGTATGCAGCGAAAGAGGGGAGATGGTGGGAGCATCTAGAAGAGACGTGACTGCCACTGAGAAGAGAGTTTGAGAATTTCCTTCTGCCCCCGGAACATTGACTTAGTTTCTCGAGCTATTGGATGGCCTTGGACAAAATAGTTAAAAGTTTCATGGGCAGGACGTGTGCGCACCTATCGCTATGACATCCTTCTTCCAGGTCATCCAACTCCTCTCTTGGGCCACTTGACAAATGCCGGTGGCACAGCAGTACAGTGCAGTGAGTGGAATCAAATGGGAATCGGGCACCGCAGAGTATCTTAACTATAGGAAAGGTGTGATGGTAAACCCTTTTCCCTTGTTCGGCACTCTCTAAACGAATAGTAAAGACACGAGTATATACGTGTATAAAACATAGCAAAATCATCCCGATCTTTCCATAGATGTACATTTATATCTATTTTCTCCCATGTATATACCCATTGCCTTGATTGCTCCTGCGACAACAAAGAAGTGACTGGCCTGGGGAACTTTTCAGATAAATCGCAATAAGCTCCAGGGTGAGAGGGACCACGAATAGCAGTCCTAGAAACATCTCGACTGACCTTGACTCACTATCTTCAACTCTAAGATCTTCTGATCGATCAGTAACGTTGTAAAATTAGCTAGCATTGTTTCCCTTGATCTCTATTTTTTGTTATTCAATTTTAATTTTTTCACCTTACCGTTTTAATAGTTTGTAACTATCCTCTCCGCAGGCCGATCTTTGGAAACTCTCGAGCCAGGAATCCCACCATTCTCGCCACTGCCCGGGTCTCTATAGCGCAATCGCTAGGTCTTAGATCATGAAAGCTAACTTGTATCTAAATCCTTCTCGTTTTTCACGTTCACTTTGCCACCCCGTTAGTCTACCATACCATATCATACCGCCTAGCACGGCATATAGTCTAGAAGCCGTCTCCATTTAGGCTCCGACGGCTCACCTGCAACAGTAATACAGCTGTGAAATTGGAGATGCAAGATCCGCAAGATCTTAGGAGGAAAATTCGAGCATCGACAACAACGGTAAACTTACAGAACATGTACTGACAGGGGCGAATCGTAGGAGACTATTGTCCTGAAACACAGATGTAATGTACCATACAGCCCCTCTCAATGCAGTCCCATATTCATCACAAAATATTAATAACCTCCTCCCTAACCCCCTCTATGAGATTTACAATAGAAAACTCGGAGATCCCTGGAACACATCGCAATACTAACCTACAGTTACTCAGCAGTAGTGTTCTCGCATGAATCATGCACCCTCCCAAATGATTGGGTGCCAAGTGTCACACAAAAAGCCTCATCTCCCCGCTTCCCTCAGCTGTGCTCGCAGAATTTTATCAACTCCCCCGCCCGGTACCCCTATAAAGTATTTTACCATCTCTACATTCAAGTTACACTTTTGACGGAATACCATGGCCCAGACTGCGCATTTCAGGTTTGGCGACAGCAATGCCAACTGCGGCAACATAACGGGTAGTTTCAACATAACAAGTGCTTTCAACAGAACAGTCTATAAGTCGGATGAGGATGCGCGGATTATGCACTGGCTCTCTCCACTGGAGCCAAGTAGCAGACATCAAGGCGTGCGCAATGAGCGGTTCGATGGTGTGGGGGATTGGCTATTGGAAACAAGCGAGTTTCGGAAGTGGAGGGGTGGTGAGGGTGGAGCTGATGAGGCTATCTTGTTTTGCAGCGGGAATCCAGGAGTTGGCAAGACGTATCTGAGGTAAGTGGCGGGATTCTCTAAAAAAGCGAAAAATTGCTGATAGTCGGAAATACTAGCTCGCTGGTGATTGATAGTCTATGCGATCAGGCAAAGAAGCAGGATGTAATCGTTGCATGCTTTTACTGCGACTTCCTTGCTCAGCAAGAGCAGACAGTCATCAACATGATGGGGGCTATTTTGAAGCAGCTAGTGGGCGGAGGGGGTATCCCGGAACATCTATGCGAGGCGTTTCAAGAAGGGAAAGAGGAGATCGGTGGCAGAGGGCTGCTACTTCCGGACCTGATGAAATTGTTGGGGATCACTATTGCTTCGCTACCCCAAGTTTTCATCTGCATTGATGCACTTGACGAATGCTTACCGAAGCATCTGCCGGAGCTTCTTAAGTCGCTGAGAGTTATTGTTCGGGAGTTCCCTAGGACGCGAAT